AGGTGGAAGGTGGAAGGGAAGAGAAGAAAGTGGAAGGTGGAAGGGAAGAGGTGGAAGGGGAAGAGAAGGGAAGGTGGAAGGGAAGGTGGAAGGGCAGAGAAGAAGGTGGAAGGGAAGATGGAAGAGAAGAAATGGAAGATGGAAGGGAAGAGAAGGTGGAAGGGAAAGTGGAAGGGAAGAGAAGAAGGGGGAAGGTGGAAGGGAAGAGAAGAAAATGGAAGGTGGAAGGGAAGGTGGAAGGGAAGAGAGGAAGGTGGAAGGTGGAAGGGAAGAGAAGAAGAGGAGGAGCAGCAGCAAGGTGGAGGAACTCAAGTCCCAGTGGCGATGGGGGCACCTTGGAAGAGCTGAAGGACCAGGCTTGGGATAGATCTTCATGAGAATTTCTAGGAGGTTGTTAAGAATCGACGCTGCCTTGATGGTCACCATCAATCAACCAATATCTCTTGAGGCAAGCCATCCAACCTCTGGAGAAGTCCGTCACGGTGGGAAAAGTGGAAGGGAAGCGAAGGAGAGGACAACCAGCAGGAAGGGGGATGGACTGAGGCGTAGTGGTGAGGGAGACACCATTAGAAGACCCGAAGGACCATGCTGGAGAGAGATCTTCCCGAAGAACATCCAAGTCGGTCCGTGTTTTTCAAGCTTGGAGACTTTGAAGTGGGTGGACTTCTGAGAATGGCTGGTTGGGGAATTCTGGGAGTTGAAGTCCACCCGTCTTCAAGTCTTCAAGGTGGAGAAAGCCCCTTTAGATGCCCACACTGAATTCATGGCACATCATGAATCAATCCACAACCAAGTTGTGGTGGATCCCCAACCCCACCGTCACCACCACCTTCCTCCTGGACCCTTGAGACCCCCCTCTTTTGCCCTTCCCAGCTCCCCACCATCCCATCTTCTCACCCTAACCAGCCGCACCACATCCAGAGCGTCCCTTTTGACCCAAGGCCGGACAAAGAAGCTCATGGTGGCCAAGAGACGTCTTGAAGAGCCTGCCGCTGTTCCTTGGCTGAACGCCGGTCCTTTAAAGGCCACGCCTGACCCTTGGCCCCCGTGGACAGCCGGGCCTTCTCCGCTTGGTTGCCTGCCCTCATTGACCACCGATGGTGGGAGGGCCTCAGAGGAAGAAGCTGGCGTGATCTGAAGGAGATCAGAGGCCACATGTTGATCTTTATCCCAGTTCTTCACGCTGTGAACGTGAGTTTTTCGTCCCTTGCAGATGTCCGGATCTCTGTTACAAACGGACATTCCTGGGTGCTGATTTTCGCACTCGGCTCCCATTCGGTCTCTGACATGCTTGGAAGAGTGCCAAGAGAGCCGTCTGGGCACCAGACCGGAGAGGCTGGGGTCATCCTTTTCACAGGAACCAGCAGATGCCTTCAAGGGGGTCAGTTAAAGATGCAACGTCGCCCATTTTCATGGCGTGTAAACCGGGTTAGTTGTAACCGCAGTTAGGTGGTAGAGTTGTGCCTTAGCCATAAAAGCCGGCTGGGTGACTTTGGGCCCATCACCAGGAGACGGTGAGTTCTAGTCCCGCCTTAGCCATAAAAGCCGGCCGGGTGACTTTGGGCCCATCACCAGGAGACGGTGAGTTCTAGTCCCGCCTTAGCCATAAAAGCCGGCTGGGTGACTTTGGGCCAATCACCAGGAGACAGTGAGTTCTAGTCCCGCCTTAGCCATAAAAGCCGGCTGGGTGACTTTGGACCCATCCCCAGGAGACGGTGAGTTCTAGTCCCGCCTTAGCCATAAAAGCCGGCTGGGTGACTTTGGGCCAATCACTAGGAGATTATGAATTCTAGTCTCGCCTTGGGCACGAAAACTGGCTGGATGACTTTGGGCCAGTGACCAGGCGCCTGGGAGTTCTAGTCCCACGTTAAACACAAAAACTGGCTGTGCGACTTTGGGCCAATCCCCAAGAGGCCATGAGTTCTAGTCCCACTTTAGGAAAGAAAGGCAGCTAGGCAGCTAGTTCCCACTTTAGGAAAGAAAGGCAGCTAGGCAGCTAGTTCCTCTCTTTCGCCGTCCAACCCCGCAGGGCTGTTGTGTGGATAAGAGAAGGAGGAAGGATTATTACGTACGTTTCCCATCTTGAGCTACTTTTGTGAATCATAAAAAGCAGGATTAAAAGAAAAGCTAATGAATAGACAGGTGGGGAAGGACCAGTGGGGGGGGGGAAGCCCTTCCACTCAGCAAGTGGGGGAAAGGCCACAAGTTAAGTGTGGCATTGTGCAACTCGGACACTTTTACGGCTGGAAAGAACACGCTAACAACTCGACCGGAGAGAATGGATGGAAGATACCGCAATGCTCCATGTTTCATGTTGGCAGAAAGAAGCCAGGTACTCAAAAAGGTCACACAACGCAGAGACCCCCACCTCTCTTTGCCCCCACTCAGATTCCTATGGCTGCCCCCCCCCCAGTTGCCTGGAAAATTCCTCGCCTTACGACGACAACTCAGCCCCAAATTTCCGTTGCTAAGAGAGAAAGTTGTCAGGTGAGTTTTGTGTCTCCGTTTTACGACCTGGCTTGCCACCGTTCTTAAATGAATCACTGCAGTTGTTAAGCGAGTAACTCGGTTGTTAAGTGAATTTGGCTTCCACATTGACTTTGCTTGCTAGAAGGTGGTAAAACAGGATTGTATGACCCCGGGACACTGTAACAACTGTCATAAATACGAGTCAGTTGCCAAGCCTCTGAATTTTGAGAATAGAATAGAATAGAATAGAATAGAATAGAATAGAATATAAAAAGAAATAATAATAGAATAGAATAATAGAATAGACTAGATTAGAATAAGAAATAAGAATAGAATAGAATAGGAAGAAATAATAATAGAATAGAATAGAATAAGAAATAATAATAGAATAGAATAGAAGAAATAATAATAGCATAGAATAGAATAAGAAATAATAATAGAATAGAATAGAATAAGAATAGACTAGAATATAAGAAGAAATAATAATAGAATGGAATAATAGAATAGAATAGAATAAGAAAGAATAGAATAGAATAGAATAAGAAATAAGAATAGAATAGAAGAAAAAATAATAGAATAGAATAGAATATAGAATAGAAGAAATAAGAATAGAATAGAAGAGATTTAATTCTCTCTGGTATTTAAGGAGGAATTTAACGACAATGCTGTACCCGGAAGTTTCAATTTACACCTCCGGGTGTGTGTGGGGGTTGCTCTATTATATCTTATCTCTACGTGCGAGAAAATGGCGCGACGCCTGAACTTCTCCAACTCTCGCGAGACTCCGCGTCTCGACCAGGGGGCGGGGCCTGGGGTGTCATGGCGGCCCCCATTCGCCGCCCGTCGCCTGAACGCGGGGAAGAAGCTTCCGGGAGGCAAGTTGAAGGCGGGCCGCCTTTCGCNGTGGGGGTTGCTCTATTATATCTTATCTCTACGTGCGAGAAAATGGCGCGACGCCTGAACTTCTCCAACTCTCGCGAGACTCCGCGTCTCGACCAGGGGGCGGGGCCTGGGGTGTCATGGCGGCCCCCATTCGCCGCCCGTCGCCTGAACGCGGGGAAGAAGCTTCCGGGAGGCAAGTTGAAGGCGGGCCGCCTTTCGCCTCCTCCTCCCGGGGAAGCTGCCGCGGGGAGGCCCGGAGCTCGCCCCTGACGGCGCTGCGCAGCTCTGCACGCATCAGATCGTTTACACGTGACGATGGTGACACGTGTCGACCTTGAACGCGTGTCTGGTCTTCCGCGTTACGCTGCACCGCCGGGTCGGGATGCTTAATTTGAACGGTGGCCGCTCTTAATTTATGGTTGCATTTCATTCAATAATTCCTTATTATAAGTCAATTTAAGGATGTCCAGCCCTTAAATTTTATTATTTTATTAGGTTGATCATTTATTAAAAATTAGCTTGTTATATCGTTGCACTATTTATTACTATGCATTAAGTTGATTGATGTTATGGTGGGCATCCCTTACTTCATTAAATTAATCATTATAAATTAATGTAACGAAGGACGTCCTTTAATTTAGTATTTCATTGAATTGTGCAATAATTTACTATTATACATAAAGTTATTGATGTAAGGAAGGACACCCCTTGATTTATTAGATATTAACCATTTATTATTAATTAATTTGATGACTGCGCAGGTAGTCCTCGACTTACGACTGCGACGGAGCCCCAGATTTCCGTTGCTAAGCGAGACAGTCGTTAAGTGAGTTTTGCTCCATTGGGCGACCTTTCTTGCCACAGTCGTTAAGTGAATCACTGCAGTTGTGCAGTTGTGAGTCACAACTTCCCCATTGAATTTGCTTGTGGGAAAGTCGCCAAAGGGGATCACGTGACCCCCAGGATGCTGCGACCGTCATAAATATGAGTCAGCGGCTGAGCGTGTGAATTTGGATCCCGTAGCAACAGTTGTAAAGTGTAAAAAATGGTGGTCGTAAGTCGCTTTATCCAGTCCTGTTGTAACTTAATGAACGGTTACTAAATGAATGATTGTAAGTCAAGGGCGACCTGTTTTAGAAGGACTAGTATTTTGGTTTTAAGCGTTAATTTCCTTGCTCCGTCAAATATGAGAAACCTACTACTAAATTCTGTGGTGGTCTGGAATACTTGTACCCAGAATAACTTGTTACAGATGAAGAGATGGGACATCCATCTGTCTGAAATGGGAAAGGGTTGCCTGCTGAGCAGAGGGTTGGACTAAAGGACCTCCAAGGTCCCTTCCAAATTTGTTATTCTGTTCTGTTCTGTTCTGTTCTAGTCTATTTCTATTCTGTTCTGTTCTGTTCTATTCTATTCTATATTTCTAACTCTATTCTATTCTATATTCTATTCTATATTCTAATTCTATTCTGTTCTATTCTGTATTCTATTCTATATTCTATTCTATTCTTTATTCTATTCTATTCTATTTCTTATCCTATCCTATCCTATTCTGTATTTCTATTCTAATTCTATTCTATTCTATTCTATTCCATTTTCTATTCTATTCCATTTTCTATTTATTCTATTCTATTCTGTATTTCTATTCTAATTCTATTCTATTCTATCCTATCCTATCCTATCCTATTCTGTATTTCTATTCTAATTCTATTCTATTCTATTCTACTCTATTCCTATTCTATTCTGTATTTCTATTCTGTTCTGTTCTGTTCTGTTCTGTTCTATTCCTATTCTATTCTGTATTTCTATTCTATTCTATTCTATTCTATTCTGTTCTATTCTGTATTTTATTCTATTCCGTTCTATATTCTATTCTATTCTATTCTATTCTATTCTATTTCTATTTCTATTCTATTCTGTATTTCTATTCTATTCTATTCTATTCTGTATTTTATTCTATTCCATTCTATATTCTATTCTATTTCTAGTCTATTCTATTTCTATTTCTATTCTATTCTGTATTTCTATTCTATTCTATTCTATTCTATTCCTATTCTATTCTGTATTTCTACTTTACTCTATTCTGTATTTCTATTCTATTCTATTCTATTCTTTTATTCTATTCTGTTCTATATTCTATTCTATTCTATTCTATTTCTATTTCTATTTCTATTCTATTCTATTCTATTCTATTCTATTCTATTCTATTCTATTCTATTCTATTCTGTATTTCTATTCTATTCTATTCTATTCTGTATTTTATTCCGTTCTATATTCTATTCTATTCTATTCTATTCTATTCTATTCTATTCTATTCTATTCTATTCTGTTCTATTCTGTATTCTATTTTATATTCTATTCTGTTTCGACATAACCAACAATATTGATATTTTTTGTTTTGTCATCCACAGAAACCTCACTTCCTCGTGGCATCCTTCTCTCTCCTACGCTGGGGTGAATAAAACCGCTTTCTCCTCCAGCTGAAACGGCCATTTTGGGCTATCGCCAGGAGAATTGCTTGCCCCAACCCTGTCCAAGGGGTGTCTCACTTGGCAGCCGTTGTTCAAGAGACCCTTTTCGAAGCTTGTGATGGAGGCCGAAGTCTCTGC